AAAAAAAAAATTTGATATTGCGTTTGCCAGGAGTCAAACGAGGGTAAAATTGCTTGCACGGCAATTATCCTAACCGTTGGAATACAAACGCGTTTGGTTAGGATTGCTTCCTATTTTAATTTTTAGATAAGAAGAATGTCATAAATGATTTAGGAACTTTCTTTTGTATTAATCTTTCAATATCCAATAATCAAAATGAAGTTTTGATAAATTTAAAATCAAATTACGTTATACACTATAAAAAAAAAATTCTTATAACATTTATTTTTTTATTTATAAAATTTTAAATTAAAATTTTATTTAAAAAAATCAATATTTTTTCCATTCAGACCAACACGTCTTTGGTATGGTCCAGGAATTTATTCTGTAAGTTTAAATTTCCAAGTCAAATTTCTCTTTTCTGTTATTATTTCCAGCAGTTTTCTCAAGTTTGAATGGGCACGACACGAGGGTGGACCACCATGGTCTCTTTCACGTGTGAACGTTTGCAAATGTAGGTTACACATACATTTCTTCAATTTTGGAGTAACCGTACAATTTGGGTTTGATCTATTCAGCTAAAAAATTAAAATATATAATTTATAATTATAATATGGGAATGTTTAGAAAGAAAATAATTTGAAGATAGATAAAAAATTATTATTATTATTATTATTATTATTATTTTATCTTAATAGTACAATTAGAGATAATCATCTACAATCTTTTATCTTACTCTATTTGCATATCATACGATTCGAATTCATGATCTCATATTTTTGATAAAAAGAAATGATCAATAAATTATTTAAGTCGTTGACATAAAAAATTATTTTTAAAATATCTTTATTTTCTAAAAAAAAAACGTAAGTATCATAAGACATGTAAGTTCTAAAATTGTTTATTTTTTTAAGAAGACATTAAATATTTTTTTAAAAAAAAAGTTTATAGTGGTGCTTCATGTAAAATTGATAAAACTCTTTTCGGTTTTTTATCTTTTCGTGTTTTCTCCATCAATCATATTTTCCTTTATTAAAAGAAAAAGGAAAAACGCACACACACACAACATCACATACACACACATCTAATACATTCATAAACCGCGTGGACAACGAGGCACATTAATGTTTCCTTTCCATTTCTTGGATTTCTTCGTATATTGACTCAGCCTTGTCCAAAACTCCAAATCTCATCCCCTTCCTTTTACATTCTTTACATAAGAAAATTACTAAATTTATACTAAAAAAAAAATTTGGACATGTCCATGAGCTATGTATGACGTCAAAAAAAAGAATTAAAATTAAGTTTTTGATAAGTAAATTCACAATACTATAAATATAATATCACATTATATTTATATTATACATAATATAATCTATTATTAGCACTTAGACCTTCAGACCCAGTGACGTCAGATCACGTATAAGTACATTCCCTTACTCTTAGAGCAACGGTTTGAATCCAATCCCTTGCGAATTTGTTTAAAAAAAAATATAGTGTATTATTAAATAATTGAAAGTGCATAATATGACATTTAAAACTTATAACAAAAAAAAAAATCAATTATATAATCCTAAATCATGTTGTAGGATGATTAAAATTTAAATATGTGATTAAAAATATCAATAATGTTGTCAATGACCTAAATAATTTAGTAGTATCTCTTTTCGCGTAGCATGATATGTATATGGAATGAGATAAAAGATGAAAGATGATTGTCTCTCATTGTGCAATCAAAATAAAAAATATATATATCGATAATGTTACTATCAAACTACATAGCTGATGGTTTAAA